CCTTCGATATTCCATGAAAGGAGATATAGCTTTTTTACTGGGCCTTGACCGTTATCCTATTTGGTATTATCAATAGTGCCTCTTTGTAATTCCCCCTGTGGTGATGATATATTTTAATCAATGTCAATTGAATTTGCACCGCTTACAACACTGGCATAACTATGTCGATTAGCGTGTACAAATCTCCTGTTGGAGTCTGTTTGATGCCTAGTAGGTTGATTTGGCTTATATGTTACCAATTTACCATTCTTGAAATATCCGCGTAAACCTCTATTATTAAGTTCTTTCAACTGCTGACGTTGTAAGTATGTAAGATCATAAGAGAGTCGAATACCTGCAGTCCTGAGATGATCACGATACTTAAAAAGTTTGAACTTGTCATCTGGGTTTTTGAATTCCACTATTACTAGCCTAGGTTTACCAGTTTTTTTACCAACTCTTCTAGCAGATTTTATTGACATCCATAACTTTTTATTAACTCGCTAACAGTGTAGTTAAAAAAGTAGAAAATTATTTGAATAATTGAAGTATAAAATTCATTCAAACGTATCTAGTACTGCATTGAATTTATAACATTGTATCACTATTGGATATCGGATAAACACATGAATAATGTAGGAATTTTTCTGTTTATCATTAATATTTCATTGTTTCAAAGACAAGAATATAATAACTTAATAGTTTAATTAAAATGTTAATCTATAAAAAGCAATAATTATTCTTATAAGATGTACCAGGAAACAGCAATTAGTATTTGAATAACAGTAAGGAAATAAGTCATTCACAAATGGTTTCACTATTCCCTAACCTGAGTTGCGGAAGAAGTCACTTAACCGAAGTATGAGTACTGTCATGTATTTTTCAATGAGATATTAAATACTAAATAGGATTACAATGACTTACTATCTGATCTAAGATTGAAATAGAAAATATACATGTTTTTTTCAGTTGTTATAAATCTAATAATAAATATGTCTCTGTCACCAACTTTAAGTGTAGGCCTTCTAAATCTGAAGTTTCCTTAAAAACAAATGAGTAAAAAAAAGATTGACCACCTGTGTTCAGAAAGGACCACCTGATTTTTGGATCCAGTGGTCCGGCATACCACCTGCTGAAAAAGTTAGTGTCGAGCCCTGCAGGTAGAAGTCAGAGGGGGCCAATTCCGGAGAATATAGGGGATAGGAAAGAATTTCGAAGCCGCAGTGAGTTACAGCAGCCATCGCAACTTGGGATGTGTGAGCTGGCGTATTGTCGTGCATGAGTATAACGCATTGAGTCAGTTTGTCGCAATTTCTCAATTCGTCTGCATAGTACGTACCGTTTATGGTACAGCCTTGCTCAAGATAGTCAATCATGATTATCCCCTGACTATCCCAACAAAATTGAAGCCATCATCTTCCCTGCTGATGGCATCCTCTTAAATTTCTTCGGAGGGGATGAGCCAGGGTGCTTCCACTGCATACTCTGTATTTTAGATTCTGGATCGAAGTGATGAACCCATGTGTCATCCTGAGTTACAATCCGGTAGATAAGATCAGATTCATCCTCGTAACGAGACAAAAGATATCTTGAAATGTCAAATGTCAAGCAGTTTTCAATGACCTCTGGTCCGTCTCTGGTCGTCAGTCAACTGTCTGTGGACCCATCTAGCGGAAAGTTGTGACATGCCATAGACATCAGTCAGAATTGCCTGAACTGAACCAAAGCTTATACCCACATCCCTACCAATGTTTCGCAGGTCTCGCCTTCTGTCGCACATGACCAGATCGTGCACAGCTTCGGCAGTTTCATTGTTTGTGGCTGCTTTTGGCCGCCCAGGCCGCTCATCATCTCCAATGCTCTTTCTGTCCCCTTAAATTCAGCAGCCCATTTTTTCACAGTGCTATATGAAGGGATTTCCTTTCTGAGTGTAGCTATGAAGTATTCATGGATTTCCTTGGGGAACATTCCTTTCTTACAGTGGTACTTAATGACGGCTCTGATTTCAACTTTCTCCATTTGGTCTAAATTACACACCCCTCTACTTATCAAAGTGTGTTTTATGTTATTTAATCTGTGTAAAACCGCGTGTAACTCGGTCAGTAATCTTCAATAAGATATCGGTATGTAATAGTTACCGTAGGAGGAATAGGTCTGCATATTATTTACAGACCCGGGTGGCGATTTGAAGACCGAGAGAGCGTAGCGATTGAGGTTTTTAAAATGCCACTGGGTCTGTAAATACTACGCAGACCTATTCCGAGTGCGGTAACTATCTTACCTACATGCTCTTGTTTTTGTTTCCATACATCAGTTTTTAATATTACTCAAAAGAAACATATTATTTATGTACATTATCATGTTTAGGAAGCATTCCAAAGCCATGCAAAGATACCATTCGCAACGCTCTTGTAATTCATTCGTTCACAAATCAGGTGTTATTTGAATATTCTCGTGTTTTTCGTGGGGTTTCATTATGTAATAAGGTTAGGAATGTACTTGTTGAGATGACAGAACTTAACGAGTAGGCAAAGGTAAGATTATTATTTTGATATAATTTCATTTATGTTTGGAAGAATTTTCTTTCGGTGTATTCTTAATTAACATCTTCCGTTATTCATATGTTGATAAGACCGCATGTAAGCACGCGGTCTAGAATGGAAGCGCAACTCGTATTCTTGCGAAGAACAGGCGAGTACTGGTATACAAATTCCAAATTGTAATGTAAAAAACTGAAAAAAGAAAGAAAAAAAAAACGGATTTATACTTAAGATGGGGCGTCCGTGGCCGAGTGGTTAAGGCCGTTGACTTCAAATCACTTGCCCCTCACCGCTCAGGTGCCCGTTCGTGCCTGAAATATGCAAGGAAGGACACCCGAGGTCTTCCTCGATCAGTAAAGCTGGAACGTCGCGATATGACCTATACTGTGTCGATGTGACGTAAAACCCAAAACAAAAAAAAGCAAAAAACAAAAATATACTTAAGATGAACTATGCTCTCACTGAAAGTAATATTTTGGGAAAGAAAGATGCAGAAGTTGACTTTGATTCGATATGCACCGTCCAATAATCTAATTGTCGTATATATCCCATAATGCAGAATTGTTAAAGTAATGCAAGATTGTGCAAAATCAGACGGAGTTGTGGAAATAAATGCTGAAAACTAGTATCTTATGAAGCTATATAGTTCGGCAAATGAGTTAGGTATACCGAAAAGCAAACTATAAAGAAATGTTAAGTGTACGTTATTGTACTCATTAATATCGGCGAAACACAAACTTCAACGCCATAACAGTAGCCAGTTCGTTTTTCTCGCAAATAATCTGGAATATATGTTAAGAGGGTCCTTACAGCCGTATACGCTAATTTATTTCTATTTATATGATGAAGTGAACTTTAAAATATATATGGACCCTTTTCCTTTTCGAAGTAGTCATAACTCCCCCCATATTTTTTTTAAATTTCTGCGTTTACGGTGAATATTGTGTAATGCACGAGTTTGTCGACTTCACATATTTTCTATTGTATAGAGAACAATAGAACAAAAACAGGTCGGTATATATTTGCAGACCTGTTAAGCGGTCGGTAAGTGATTTACTAGACCGCTTTTAACAAAAGAGCCGGTAGGTAACGACGAATCGTGTGTTAATGTCAGTGTAGTGGCTATAAGTATATCGGGCCGAGAACGTTTTGATCATACCTCGTATGCATGTACAAGTTTGGTTCGGACAAGCATTTTTCAATGACCTCTAAGTGTGACCTTGACCTTTGACTTAGAGACCTGGTTCATTCGCGCGACGCGGTTTCTTATAGTGGCGATATTTCTATGAAGTTTCATCAAAATCCCTCCATGCGTGTAGGAGTTATGCTCTGGACAAAAGTGGACCCAGGGGCGTTCCTATAATACGACCCGTTTTTTCAAACGGGTGTTAATATCAACAACAAAAAAGATTTATCAACCGTGGTACTGGTTACCTACAACGTGTGATTATTACGAGACACTGGCTTATTCACATCGATTGTGCAATATGATATAGCAAGTTGTAAGTCAGGTATTTGAAAAGTGCTAATATTAAGTAAAAACACCAGAAAATCTGACTAAGATATATACAAAATACTTTTTAGTTTTTGACAGATGTACTATAGAGAAAGACTTTTGAATTCATTTCATCTGGTGATAAACATCAGATCACATCATATGAATTACATGACATATCATACCTTATATCATAATAAGATGTTTTGCTGGTACTTGTAAATGAATTAGACCGTTTTCTTATAACTCTATTGGAAACCCGTGGTCCTGGGGTAACACGCTATTTAAGGATGTGAGAGATGTGAAAAGTGCCTTTTTAGCGATTTTAACAGTTTAAGGAATAAGCCACGATATACAAAGACTGTCAAAAAATTCAAATAAATGATATTATAAAAATGACATTATAATGTAAGTAAGTAACTCTGGCCATGCAAAATTCTGAATGTCTCAAATTCAAACTGTAACAGCCAAAAATCTAGATGGTTAAAATGTTTTATATTGATTGAACTTATATGTCAAATTTAAGCATTTGAAAAGGGGAGTTTAATTTACGCGCATGCATTTATCTAAGATGAAATAATGTAAAACACAATGAATACTATCTAGGTAAGAAAAAAAATTATGAAAACTTATTTTTTTCGGTGACCATAAGGATACGTAATCCTTAAAACTTATTTAGAGAACGTAGTGGTGATAGATATTACGAATTACCTGATTTTAAAAGTATTTATCAAGGATGTACAGAGATAAGTAGACTTGAAATAAGCTGAAATATATATAATTTTGTCAAAAAAAAACCCCAACAAAAAAAAAACAATACGTGTCATAGTGCAATCCTTACAAATACATTTAGATAATTCATATGTTCTAATGCGCCCTATAAAAACATGTCGGCAGGAAAAAAAGTATGTGGTTTTCAATGCAAACTTTTCATTTAAAAACATATATGAAAAGTAAAATTTATGGATTTAAATGTATCTACGTACCAAATTTAAACTCCACTTCATTATTCTAAATAAAGGAATAGTTATTGTTTATCCAAAACAATCCCAACACCGACTTACGTAAACTAAGTCGTTGAAAAAAACCTTATTTTCCCAAGCAGGCAGACATGAAAGGATTATTTATGTTAATTGCGCACTTCAATATACATATTGATATATACGGAAGTGAACGGAATTCAGTATACATGTATCATCAATATATGGGTAAAATGCGGGAAATTTGAAAAATGTATTTGACCGTTATGATAAGGGTCCGTAAATGATAAATATACGGAAACTTTGTAGTACAAGGTCCGTATTTTATTAAAATACGGAATTTTATTACAAGTCTTTATATTACTAAAACACGAAATTCAATATTCTTGCAAATACTGATTCTGTATACAGAGATTAACTTAACATAAAATGAATTAACCGTTTCCTTTAATAAGACATAAATAATCTTATCTGATCTGATTTTTCAGTTATTTGTCAGAATATCATGAAATAGTTAAGCTTACAAATACCTCTAAACAATTAATATATTGTTATATTTATAATTATATTTTCTGGATCAGTTGCATACTGTTAATATGGTCAGTGAACAGAACGTGTAAAACATAGATCATTTACAGCGTCCGTAGCATGTTAAGACAAAAATGACGATATATATTCATAAATATCTTTTTATTTGTATAAAGATATACAACAGCTCAAGAACGCTTGGTTCACTTTTTGCCAATTCATTTCTGCCTATTCATGCTGTTGATAAGCAAAAACAGAGAAATTGTAATAAAGTTACTGAATCGAACGGGCTACGTCTCTAATCCAACGCCCCTTTAAGCTACCATTTCCAACATTTCTGTCGATAATTGACTAAATTTTATCTTTGACGAGTTATGGTGGCTGATTTGTTCCATTCGTGTTTTCGCCCTGCGGCCACACCAAGCGAAAAGTCGAGAATTAACAAGTTAAAATGGCGGGGTCGCGCTAATTAGCGGGGGCGCGCGGCGAAGTGTAATAAATAAAACTTCGCCCCGCTCGGGCGCGGAGTGTGAATAAAGAAATAAAACGGCGGGGGCGCGGGGCGAAGTTTTATAAATTAAAACTTCGCCCTGCGACCCCCCGCTTATTAGCGTGTTTTCGTACTGTGGCCAAGCGAAAAGTCGAGAATTAACAAATTAAAATTTGCGGGGTCGCGGAGCGAAAACACGCTAATTAGCGGGGGCGCGCGGCGAAGTTTAATAAATAAAACTTCGCCCTGCGAGGGCGCGGAGCGAAAATTAAGAAATAAAACGGAGGGGTTTGATAAGATAAAACTTCGCATCACGACCCCGCTAATTAGCGTGTCTCCGCCAAGCGAAAGAGTTTAAATGGCTGGGGCGCGGGACGAAAACACAAATGACACAAACCAGCCACCATAGAAAAGTACATCTTATTTTGTCAATATTTTGCGCTGGTATTTTAGAAATACTGTGTCAAATTATTGTAATAGTTTATGCTAAATAAGCGAAAATCTGGGTTATTGAATAGTGAGATAATATCCATAACACTCACAGTATATCACTTATAGTGTTGTTAACATAGAGTTTTGAAGTTTTCATGGTCTAAATATTAGTTTATGATCACGTTAATATAATTGAAAAATGTATTGTTTATACTATTCTTTTAAAGCTTATTTCTTGATTCAAATACATTACTGCGCATGTACTAAATACTTAAGATTTTCACCGCAATGTTGACTCAAACTTGTAACTTCTTCCGATTTGCGCATCGTACGCGTAGCCGTGAAACGCCTGACATCATTTTCGTTACGTGGATCTGTTTCCAATGCCTCAATGAAATGTTTTCGCGGATATACTATAAATGAACACACAACGACAAAAGTAATCCTTCCTTTAGATACTGATTTTCTCTCACTTGTATACTCAGATCGTATGTAATTACCGGACCGGGCATTGTTTGCATTTTACATGTACCGGCAAACGCTTATTTTGTTACAACCATAAAGATTGTCAGAATTATAAAGATTAATGTTTTATTTCATTGTGTACACAGAGTTATAGCTGCATTTCAGAAATCAATAGGGTAAACTGTTTTGCTGAACAACATCCACTTTCGGATGAAACCTCGATAAAAGTAGATCCTCATTTTGCAGGATTGTCACATTTAAATCACTTTTTATTAAAAATATTGTTTGCATAGTTGTCAATAAGCTTTGAAAGTTCAAAACTATGCACTTTCAGTTTAAAGAAACATTTTTAAACATGAAAGCAAAAAATATGAAAATTACTATTTCATTGATAAAAGCTTTTTGTACACCTACGCTTCAAACTTCGTATCCACGCATGCGCGTGCAAGAATGAATGAATTAAGACAGACTCTGTATAAAAATATGTCCAACATCCAAAATAAAAATATTAAATCAAACAAGTAGACCTTATTAACTCTTAAATTTACACTTGCATATTTTTTTCTATTTCAAACTGTTTTACAAAACGAGCATATACAGATATATGTCTTATTTAGTGGTATGTAACATTGTAAGCGTCTGAATGAATTGAATAAAAGTTAACATTTTGAAAACGTATTGTCATATATTTGCATATAATAGAACCCTATCAACATGGTGGCATCGGAGGAATATGCAATTATTTGTTGCACACCTGCAGTGTGAAGTATTTCTGTCACTTAAGTGAAATATATCGCCCAAAAGCCATTTTCGGGAAGCGGAAGATTCATACTCAATATTATTCGATTTGAAGATACGTACTCAATATTCGAACTTAGCCTTCGTAATCGGTATTATTCGAACTGACAATCATGGCAGATACGTTTAGACCCCAAGGACATTTAGATGTTGAAAATGGTAATATATCTCATAACTTTATCAAATGGAAGCGCCAAATGGAAATTTACTTGACTGCCAGTGGAAATGCTGAGAAAGATGAAAAGATACTGTAAGTAAATATCCTATTACACTGTGCTGGACCTAAAGTTATAGAGATTTATGATCAATTTACATGGGCAAATGCAGATTGAACATAAACTGAAAGTGGACAAAGTATTTGACAAAATAGAAAGCTATTGCAATCCAAGAAAAATGAAGTGCTAGGATCACACAGATTTTTGGTAACAAATTCAGATGAATATACATCATTTGACAGTTTTCTTACAGAGTTTTGAAAGCACGTTGAGTCTTGTAATTTTGATACACAGAAAGAAAGAATGCTTAGTTAGAGATAAAATTGTGTTTAGCAGCAACGGAAAACAACAAGAACTTCTGTTAAGAGAAGAAAATCTGGGCTTTGAAAAGGAAATCAAAATATGCCAAGCTTACAAACAATCGAATAAGCATGTGAAAGAAGTTCGCAATACAAATGATCAACCAATCCACAAAGTTGAGAAGACATATTCATCTTATTCTCATTCTGGCACCCGTCCAACACAACAGTTCAAATCGTCCTAGTCAACCGCGTCAGTATAAACCACCAGTGGTAAAGAAACAACAACGTCCACATCAGAATCGATCACAATTTTAATATTGCGGATACAATCACGATTTTAGAAAAGAGAAGTGTACGGCATGGGGTAAATTATGTGAGGGATGTGGCGGCAGACATCATTTCATAGAACAGATGTAAGAAAATACACAAAATTGAAATTGAATCATCAAGTGAAAATGAATGTTGGTTACAATGTGTCGAAATAGGCCAAAAATCCAAAATAAAAGCAAAAATGATTGCAAGTTGATTTTCAAATTGATACAGGTGCAGAGATCAATACAATCAACAGAAAATATGTAAAGAAAAGTCAAAGAAAGAAAATTTTCTGTAAACTTAAAATGTGGAATAGGTCAACAGTAAGTTCACATGGTGAAGTATACTGACTAACAAAAATCAAGGTGATATCACAGCTTTGATTGTATTACTTACTTTAAATCAGTATATCTACGTGTTAAAACAATTGAATACATTTAATTTATATGCAGAAAAATGCTTATCTGTAAATGCACATATGCAGACAGTCACTTCCAATTCTACATGTATTCTTATTAACATATTAATATATATTGAAATGTCTCAGCATGTAAGGGACTCGAACACCTAGCTAACTCTCGGAATACCGTTCTTCCAACTGAGCTATCCGGCTGGTTACACATAATTATCTCCCCTAAATAGTAAACAGTTTTATTTATGCATGTACATAACTTTGGACAGATAAGAAAATAATATGGTGGCAGATTTGTGCCTTGGCATTTATTTGTTTCGCAAGGCAAAAACACAAAAATACAACAAATTATTAACCACTTTGTCATACTTTCCTGTTTTTACCTGACACACAGCTAACATTTTAGTATTTTGCCTGGCGGGTTGGCTCTTTCCGAAACCTGGTGGGTCAGACCCGTGTGCCTACATTAAAAAATAAGAAGGGAGATGATCCTTTACAAACCATAGACACATATTAGAATTAATAAAAAATGAATTCAGTATTTGATATTTTTGAGACCTGATTTTTTTTCTAGATCTTTTCTTCCCTTTATTTAAGGACCTGTATAATGGTGTTGTAGTTAAGATTTCTGTTTGCTGCCCTGTGTGTGTAAAATTCCATCATGGGCCCTGTCACAACTAGAAATGTACACCAATTTAACCTCAGGTCTGTCACAAGTTAAGAAATATATTTTAAAATATATTATTTACAATCAAATCACTCAGTCAGGCTGAGCCACCCTTAACATTTTTTCCAGAACTCTTTAGACTATTGATATATATAGGTAAAATTATTAGCCATAAATGAGCTTATGATTGCATGGGCAGTCAAATTAAAGCCATTAGTAAAAAAAGGGTTGACCTGGGATAACCCCAGTGAAGAGTGAAATATGACAACACCTACAGGTACATTCTAAATATTTAGATTAGTGTTTATGATCAGTTTTAGCACAAATAGTAATTTAATTTCCCCTGATACCACAAATATGAATTTATTTAGAGTCCTGAAGATCACTGAAAAATCAGGTTTAACTGAATAATTATAAAATTCCTTGCCACAATAACTAGAAGGTACATAAAGCCAGTCAAAAAATATTTCTATCCATATTCATCATTCCTGTACCTCTATCCATTTGATGAATTTCTCCAAGTGGTAAATTTTTC